GACACGATCCCCACCTCCCCGCACGCTACCCTCTCCTCCACGCCCCCCCTTCCGTCCTCCCCTCCTCCACCCTCCCTCCCTCCCCTCCCCCTCCCTTCCCCCTCCCTCCCCTCCCCCTCCCCCTCCCTCCCCCTCCCTCCCCTCCCCTCCCCCTCCCCTCCCCTCCTCCCCTCCCCTCCCCCTCCCCTCCCCTCCCTCCCTCCCCTCCCCCCCCTCACCTCCTCCCTCCCCTCCTGCCCCCCCACCAATTCTGCCTGCCCCATTTTTGCAGGTTGCAGCCCTCAAGGGCAGCATAATGATGTTCACTGTGATAACATATTCCTACTTTCCACGAATGATCAATATCTGGGAAAATGGCCAGGAGCGGTGTACATGGTATCGTGAAGACTACAAATCCGACATCTTCACCGCCAGTCTAGACACTGGTTTTGTCGCTGGGCAGGTATGTTGTTTCTCTTGCAATGTGTATGACACCATGGGCTGGCGTTCCCAGTTGTCCGACAAAGTTTGCGTGAGGAGCCTGTGATGCATGGAATGAAATAGCTGCTCATGCTGCATTTAGAGCTGTAAGTCTTCGACCGTCCGCCATCTCCAGAGGAAGTGGTTGTGATGATCTTGATCGTCTGTTGCAGGGCAGGCTATATGCCACCGGCAACGTGAACAGAACTGCTATCACCAGAAACAAATTCCTACATCTGTCCTCGAACCTCCTGTAGGAGACGGGTGGTGTAGGCTGGTGTGCCTCGAGGGTGTCCAGGCAAGGACACGCTAGGGATGGAAGAGGGGACAGGCGTGGGCAGGGTGACAGGCCCAACAGGGTTGGTCTTAGTCAACACCATAGGGATCTAAGTTTTGGGGAGGCTCACCCTGGCATTACAGCTCCAACTGCCACAGGTCTCCAGGTCAAGCGCCTCTGGCAACTCTGTTCAACATTGGCGGGGCGCTGTCAGTGTGTATGGTCTACAAGGGAAATCCTGATGTGAGTAAAAATGAATCGTGCGGATAGATGAATGTCCAAGGAAGCCTCTCGGCTAGGTATTGGCTCTTCGTTCCCAGACAGTGAATTGAGATTCCGCGCAGGGTGCATCGTGCCCTCGATAGTGTGGCATGATGGGAAAAAGTCTGAGACTCTCAACACATCGGCACCCAAGCCTCCTCTTAGATGGTGCGTACACTTTAGCAAAGTCATTGCAGTGGCAAATGATATCGATCAAAAGGGAATTGACCAGACGTCAGTGATCGATGCGCCGGCTGGGTTCTGAGGGCAGCACCCTTTAAGGGACACAACGCGATGGCCTTTGGGTCTGATGACGCAGTTATCTGTGAAATTATCGCCAATAGGTTTCCATGATTCTAAGAATAGGAAGGAGATCGCTCCCTGTGCACGGCGTTTGGCATACTCTCGAAGCCGTTCTGAGCTGGAGCGCGATGACGGCCGAGCTCCGCTAAGAAGGGCAGCCTGCTTGTCCATGTGACCCGGCATCCATTCGAGGTCAATGAAACATCCATACTTCGGGATCTAAGTTTTGGGGAGGCTCACCCTGGCATTACAGCTCCAACTGCCACAGGTCTCCAGGTCAAGCGCCTCTGGCAACTCTGTTCAACATTGGCGGGGCGCTGTCAGTGTGTATGGTCTACAAGGGAAATCCTGATGTGAGTAAAAATGAATCGTGCGGATAGATGAATGTCCAAGGAAGCCTCTCGGCTAGGTATTGGCTCTTCGTTCCCAGACAGTGAATTGAGATTCCGCGCAGGGTGCATCGTGCCCTCGATAGTGTGGCATGATGGGAAAAAGTCTGAGACTCTCAACACATCGGCACCCAAGCCTCCTCTTAGATGGTGCGTACACTTTAGCAAAGTCATTGCAGTGGCAAATGATATCGATCAAAAGGGAATTGACCAGACGTCAGTGATCGATGCGCCGGCTGGGTTCTGAGGGCAGCACCCTTTAAGGGACACAACGCGATGGCCTTTGGGTCTGATGACGCAGTTATCTGTGAAATTATCGCCAATAGGTTTCCATGATTCTAAGAATAGGAAGGAGATCGCTCCCTGTGCACGGTGTATGGCATACTTTCGAAGCCGTTCTGAGCTGGAGCGCGATGACGGCTGAGCTCCGCTAAGAAGGGCAGCCTGCTTGTCCATGTGACCCGGCATCCATTCGAGGTCAATGAAACATCCATACTTCTTTCTGCCCTGTTGTAGTTTTGCGTCTTTGTATGGGGTGCCGAGTCCAATGTGCTGCATTGTCGGAGGCAGGCCAATTCTCTTGCGCGGGCTGTGACGGGACCGAGTACTGCTTGTCAGTTGAAGGATCAGGGCACTGAGCCCAATGGGTCTGTGGTAAACTGCGTGACCTGGTTCTGCAATGTGCGACGTAAACTACACATTAATCGAGGTAAGGTCCTTACGCTGATGTTCCATTGCATCTTGTATCACATTGGCAAGGGGAGGATGATCCAGCGCTGACGGCTATGCCAATGGCAGGGTGCTGTGCATGACAGGCAACCTTCCGTTGCGCGGGCTGCGACGGGGTGGCCGCTGGGGCAGGAGAAGAAGCAAGTTCAGGAGGTAATTCTTGACTTCTTCATTCAGAGTTCTCGAGGAGCCTTCCTCTGTCAACATGCACCGTGACACTTGAGCTCAAAAATAAAGGTCCTTACATCGACATCAAATGAGTACTGTATCCAGACGAGCAGGAGTCCCATGGTGCATGGATGGCAAGCAAATACGCGCGTCTCATGTTGAGAGGTGCCGTGGGAAGGCAGCAAATTCAAATCACAAGGCTCCAGTGCAGTGGAATAAAGGCAAGGACAGGATGCCTCCTGCAGCAAGTCCGGACCGAAAGTAGGTTGGGCCCAGGATGCGCAACGCCCCATGGCACTCTACGTCAGCAGAGCTCCCAGTCTCGATACCAGGCCTACGTCGTCCATTTTGGCGCGAAACCTGGTCCTGTGGTGGCGAGGTGTAGGCTGCCCCTCAGGCCTTGCAGGTCACTGCAGACGGCCAGTCGCAGTTCTTGGTGGCCGGATTAAAGAGCGTGGTGATGGGGCAGGCCATGTAGTGGCTGCCGCTGGAGCCGCAGTTGAAGAAGCCCTTGCAGCCGCCGGCGACGTCGGCAAAGAGGCCAGACTTTCCTCCAGAGCAGCCGCACGTGGCGTCCTTGGCGGCACATGCCGGGGGAGGAGGGGGAGACTTTCTTGACATGGGAGGCGGTGACTTCTTGGTGGGTGGGGGAGACTTCTTGGGAGCGGGGGGAGGCAACTTCTTGGCGGGCGGGGGCCTCATCTTCCTGGAGGGTGGGGGTGGGGACTTTGCGGCAGGTGGCGGCGAAGCCACGGGGGAGGGGGAGGGGGAGGGGGAAGCATTTGGCGAAGGCTCTGGTGGTGGAGGGGAGGAGGCAGGAGAGGAGGCAGGGGATGGGTAAGGGGTGGGGGAATCGGTGGAGGGTGGTGGGCTGGTGCCGGTGGGCGAGGTGCCGGGGGAGGCGGGCATGATGGCAATGTCGGCACAGTTCCAGAACTGCAGCATCAGGAGCGAGTCAACGGTGGTGAGGGATGGAGAAAGCTGTGAGCGTAGCAGGATGGCAAGAGCATTGGGGGGTTGGTGTTTTGGGCAGGGCATGGCAACAACCCTTCCTTGCTGAGGGTTTACATCGCTCAACAACGGTCAAGCACGCTCGGCCATCATGGGTCTCACCTCCTCGGGGTACGCGTTGTTGGATCCGCAGCTCGGCAGCTGTGGGCTGGCGTACTTGGGGTCGGTATTAGGGGGCTCGCAAGAGTTGCCTACAGAGCAGAGGCGTTGCGAGGAGGAGAAGGCCTGTGGGAGTCCTATGGCCGGTGCATGTCATTGTAGTGCCACTGATGTGGCGCACTGCAATGCCCCTTCCCACTCCTGGGAATGCAAGACACTCAAAGCCCCATCGCCTTCCACCGCCCAGCGCAGCCCTCACCAGTGAGATAGTACCACTGCATCACGCAGCGCGCGTTGACACCGTCGCAGGTGAGACCCTGGGGCAGCTGGTAGGACATGGTGTAGGAACCGGTTCCCCGATCGTACCAGTAGGGGCTGCCAGGGTTCTGAGCTCCGGCCACGTCGGCTTGCACCTGGGGAGGCAGGGTCCAGGTGTGGGATTAGAAGGGGTTGAGGGCTCCCAGGAGGGCTGGCGTCGGTGTGAGGTGCTGATCAGGTCTCAGGACGCCATTGGCGAGATGCAGAAGTGCCTCGAGCAGATCACTGGCCTCAGGAAACGAGCAGATTCACTCCCTGCTGGCGTGTCGCCCAAGGGAAGGAGAGGTGGTGAGGGGGATGTCCCCGCGCCGCGGATACCCCACTCACCAGGACGTGCTTGTCCAGGCACTCCTCAGTGAGCTCCGCGAGCTCTGAGGCTGGATCCTCGATGACGCACACCCTGTAGGTGAACCTCCCCTTGTGGCTTGCGGTGATCACGGTCGTCAGGTTGACGACCTGGCCTTCGGTGTAGGTCCCGGTGATGGTCCCGGTGGCTGAGACGCCACCGTACTCGTGCTTCCGCTCCCCAGTGTAAGAGTCCCCGCACATTCCGTGGTGAGAAAGCGGCCATTGCAAAGTATTTCCAGCGCTGACTGCCGCCGGTCCTGCTCAGGTGTAAAGGGTTGGGAAAGGATGAGAGCCCGGTCTCTTAACACGGTCATTCATGTCCGGGGCGAGCAACCCTCACCTCCAGCATTGAGGCACTGCGGACAGTAGTCGGTGTTATGCAGGGCATTCCTCGAGGCTGGCACGGCAAGGTAGCCGTGGGCCTCCGCATGCTGCAGCAGGCATGCAGCAATGGCGAAGGCAAGGACCAACGAGGCGGCCCGCGCGTAAGTACGCATCGCGAGGTTAAGGGTTCAGGAGAATGTGCCGGCAGTTGGTGTGCGGGAGAGTGCTGTGGTAACAAAATGGAGGTTGTATGTTTATAAAGTGGTCCAGTTAGATAATGTTTGGGCAATGTGTGCCTCGCCCCGCTTATATTCAGCCAGTGAATTTTTATCTGTTTCCGGCCCAGCTCCTCGGAGGAAGGTGCATTGACCGGAGGACCGCCATCTTCCCAGTCCGGCAAAAGAGGGGGTCACCAGCCTAATGTGTGGTCAATCAGCCTTTGGGTGAAAAGTACTAGGTAAAGCTGGACTCAGTGCGTCCGCAAGCCTCGAAATGCTTGTGCTCAGCAAGCACTGGACTGGAAGTGCAACTATTGGCACTGCTGTCGTGCTTGTGAAACTCTTGCATCGGTGCATAATGCTCCATCAAGATGTGAAAATCGTGTTCCTTATGATAATGGGAACAATCTGTTGATACATCCGTGGAGTTTACGCTAGATTCTGGGTATCATATGTGAATCCTTCATCAAGCCCCTTGTCAGGATGAGAGGTGCATCTGCAGATGCCCGCGGGCCCTTGCCCGACTACCCCTCGTGCCGGAGTTCGCGCCCCTATCGGGTTTCTCACATGCAACTCATTGTCCGAGCCTTCAACCATTAGGGCTTTCGTATTACCATTCAATACATCGCAAAGAGGGCCCGATTTGTTGAAAAGCGTACATCGAGTGTTGTGCTTTCCCATCGTTTGGTTCCAACCTGATCGCCAATAGATTTTCAGAAACATGTGACGCAGCCGCAGCCGCTTAACCCCACCCTCATCTATCTGTCTAAGGGATCCTTCCATCGCATGCTGATGTGCACTGGAACTGTCTGCTGAGGACTGAATGACATCGGAGAATTCCACCAGCTAACCCCGCGTCCCGCCTCCGGGCGCGGCGCACCGGCGACCAGGTCTCCGGAAAACCCCTCATTCATAAAATTGGATAACCGAATAAGCTACCCAGAGAGTCCCCGTACCCTGCGCTTATTAGATCGTCTTCGAGTTCTTTGGAAGCTGGTGGATTGAAATTCTCGATGTGATGCTCCATTGCCTGCACAGAAGCCTCCTCGCATCATGACCATCAGGGGTGAACAACCACTCTCGCGCGGAGAAAATATACGCAGTTCTAGTCGAAGCCACGAAGCGGAACATGCACATGCGTAGCAGCAAATTTAAATTGTCATTGTATTTTACGTCACAGATGTTGCCAGTGCTGGGGACCGGCAGCGAATTGGGCTCCTCGTAGCTTCCCCATGCCAGAAGTACTGCCCAGAAGGGCAGCCTAACTCGCTCAAAAACCGCGTTTCATCGAGTTTACTGCCTCCTAACATTTCTTTTTCAGTTGGATATCTAGTGATGCTAGACGGGGAACTGGTCCTGCAAGACGGTGGTGGAACAATGAACTCTCTGCGTGAAACGCCTTGCTCCTCTCGACCACCGAGTTTGTAGAGGGAGGGCGGGTTCGCGGGGGTGGCGCACCAAGGCGCTCTGCCCTGTAGCTCCTTAACGGACCTCTCAATGACCTTGATATGCCCAGTCGAGGACCAGTCTACTGAAACCGCGATGGTAAAGTATCACGACGGCGCTCAAGTACACCTAGCTAGGGCAAGTTTACCTCCGATTCAGGGCTACGTATTCTTTCTCCAATGACCATCATGACTGGTGTTCTCGGTGCATACTCAATAGAGAGCCAGAGGCGGACCACGATGCTGAGAGACGCGTGCGGTGCAGCGAAGCAAAAACGAAGGAGAGGTTCACCTCATGCTTTGCATGACGCGCTATGTTTCCCGCGCTCGCTTCAAGACAATACAAAGCGCCAGACGGACATTGGCAGGTCCTACTGTGCACAGTCTCTCACTTGCTTGATACTAATAACACCGAGCGTGCATTAAAATGGCTCCCAAGCGGGGGATGAGCGCAGAGGATAAGCGCAAGACACTGCTCGCCATATTTCACGAGACCAAGGACGTCTTCGTACTGAAGGTGGGTGTGGGCTTGCCTGCGATGTATTACGTCGACAAAGTAATTCAGGAATAAATCTTATGTATAGTATCAGAATTGGAGAGGATCCCACCCCCATCGCGAGACCGTAGGATGTGGAGAAAATTGGAGCGAAACGAGGGGTGGTCCTGCAAAGCATCACAAGTACACCTAGCTAGGGCAAGTTTACCTCCGATTCAGGGCTACGTATTCTTTCTCCAATGACCATCATGACTGGTGTTCTCGGTGCATACTCAATAGAGAGCCAGAGGCGGACCACGATGCTGAGAGACGCGTGCGGTGCAGCGAAGCAAAAACGAAGGAGAGGTTCACCTCATGCTTTGCATGACGCGCTATGTTTCCCGCGCTCGCTTCAAGACAATACAAAGCGCCAGACGGACATTGGCAGGTTCTACTGTGCACAGTCTCTCACCTGCTTGATACTCATAACACCGAGCGTGCATTAAAATGGCTCCCAAGCGGGGGATGAGCGCAGAGGATAAGCGCAAGACACTGCTCGCCATATTTCACGAGACCAAGGACGTCTTCGTACTGAAGGTGGGTGTGGGCTTGCCTGCGATGTATTACGTCGACAAAGTAATTCAGGAATAAATCTTATGTATAGTATCAGAATTGGAGAGGATCCCACCCCCATCGCGAGACCGTAGGATGTGGAGAAAATTGGAGCGAAACGAGGGGTGGTCCTGCAAAGCATCAAGGATGTGCTGCAGGTGAGGGAGCAGGGATCGTTTCTACCAATAAAATCCATGCAGTCCGGCCACAGGCTACACGCAGCTCTGCCTCACTTCCACAGACACTCGTAGATGATGACCTGGTCCACATGGAGAAAATCGGATCCTCAAACTACTTCTGGTGAGCATCTGATACCTGGATTAGTTTTTGAAAGGACTCTAGTACCCTGGTATGCTATACCAACATGGAGTGTAGCAGCTATCAAGTCGTACAGGACATCCAGACAACAGTTTGGCCGTTCACCAGATTGCACAAGGATCATGCGTGCACCGCCCGCGTACTGAATCATGAACCCCACTGCGCTCCTCCTCGAAAATGCTGCAGGTCATTTCCCAGCGAGGCGGCAGTCAAGCTGCAAGTCGAAATAACCAAACTGGAGACGCAGCTTGAGGAGCGAAGCCAGGAGGCAAAAAGCCTGGGTGCACAGCTGGAAAGCAAGAAGGTTGGAAACACCGATACGGTGAGAAGAGTGTTGAAGGAATAACAGGTTCCTGCAGAGAATGGGTGGGACACCCTGGAACATCTTGCATGAGAAGATGCTTGCCGGCTGCCTCACTGTTTCTGCTCGATTGCTCATAGTGTCGTTGTCAAAGCAACCAAGCCTCCCCTCCCGCAAAGTAGGTGCAGGAGGAGAGATCCTGTCTGGTGCGCCGGCTGGCTGAGCTGGATGAGAAGCTGGCTGCTAGCTCAGCAGAGCTCAGACAATATGCAGCCAGCGACCCTGAACGATACGAGGCCCTGAGTGAGAAGATGGCTTGGTGTTTGGCGGAGACACGGGAGGGGGGCGCGATGGCAGCCATGCACTGTGCACTGTTGTTACCGTATGCTCATCAACTCCCAGGTGTACAGGCCTGAGTCATCGACCCGGTGTACCAATGACCCCATGATCACTTCATGTTCACCGCAGAGCAAGCCACCCCCGTGGCCATCGACTCGGCAAACCGATGGATTGACAACCTCCACGCCCTGCACGACTGGCTCCGGAAGAAGTTCCAGGGAATGGACACCCAAGTGACGAACTTGTTCAAGGAGGTACGCGCTTGTGTGCAGCGTGGTGCAGTTTGGGTCTGGCCTGCCTTGCATGTGCACGTGTTCATGGGGAAGGTTGGGAGGCTGAATATTGGGCGGGAGAGCCCTGGGCAAGGCTCGTCAAACCCTGCCACAACTTGTTGTTCCCGCTGACGGACTCCCGGCATGACCATGCAAGCTCGACAATTCCCACATTGCACCTCGCCCGCCTCCTATTCCGCGCAGCATGGCTTCTCTGACGAGGCTGAATACCTCGCCGCCTGAGGCCGCACAATGGCGGGTGAAAGGGACTCGAGAGGTCCGGCTTCGCGACAGCTACCCATAGACGGTTCCGTAGCCTGCGACCTGCCCGGTACCTGCCTCTTCCCACCCTGGCCGCCCACGGGCCCCGCGTGCCCTGATATGCCCCGCTTGACCACATTTAGTGCTACATAAATTTTGGACGAGAAAAACCACTCCAAAGTCCGACCCACTTTCCCTATTCGCTAGGTCAGTCATCCATGCGTGACCGGTCCACGCTGCACGGGGCGGGGGAGGAATATTTGCGAGCACAATGCCATCAGATGCAAAAACGTGCCTGTCCCGCTTCAAAGATCGGGTGCCCGGGATTTTCATCTAGAGTCGCCGTTCCGAGCAACCTTACCCCCCCAACCCTACAGGGATAACTGGCCCGAAATGGCTCAGGTCTCCACAGGTGTGCCGGCCCCACAAGTCCCTGCTCCCCCGCGCCCCAAGGAAGGTCCGTGCAGCACGCCCTGTTACCCCGTGTCCTTCCATCGACGTCCTCGCATGCCACGTTCCGCCCCCGTGCAGGCGTGACCACCAGCTCCTTCGCCGGGTCCGGCCCCGCGGCGGACCAGGATGATCGCACCATCGCCGGGCTGCACATCCCAGGCTCCAGCACCCTGTACACCCTGCTGAGCCTGCTGCAGCTGGTGGCGGGCATCGCGGCCCTCATCGCTCCCTACAGGGTGAGGACACATGTTCACGGATTCTGTGGGCTGCAGTGTCCAAGGCACGCCATGTATGCCCCCTCCCAGTTTCCTACCCCTGAACCTGTCTCGAATCCCCTCCCCTCTTTGTGCGTGCAGCTGACTGACATCTTCTTCAAGCACCACATCATCGCCCCCGATCTCCTGTACGAGGAGCTGTGGAGGCTCCTGGCAGGAGTGCTTTTCGCTGGCGCCGCCACCGCCTACGCCCTGAAGGTCAGTACAGGGATCCCCACTTCGCCTCTAACTTTGTGCATGCATGGCATGATGTTGGTGGCCGTGGGTCTGGAGGCTCCCTGGGTCTGGCATGACTGGCTGAGGGAGGCGTCAGTGTTTGCCCCCAGAAATCTAGCAGGCGGCTCTCCCCAGAAGTGATGTGTTGGTGCATCCATGTCTCCCCTCCTCCCTTGGCCCCGCCAACCCCCCAACCATCCACTCTCGAAGCAACCCACCCCACGACAATAACAGGTGACCTCTGACCGCCAGCTTCTGGCGGAGCCCCTCACCCAGCGCCTGCAGCTCGGATTCGTGTGGTTTGCGCTGGTGGCCCTCGTCCTGCACCTGGTCTACCTCCTCTTCATCAAGACCCTGACATGGTGGGGCCTGCTGCTGGGCGCCGCCGTGGTGGCACCCACCCTCCTCCTCCCCGTGGTCCACCTCAGCCTCAGCGGCGGCTTCGGCCTGGCTGCCACCATCCACGGCTTCCGGACTGGACTGGGCAACCTGGTCCACCCACGCAGCTTCTCTGTGGCTGGCTTCCTCTACACCCTGCTCACCGTCGCCTTCACCGTCGTCGGCTTCCTCATTGTCATCCTGCCCAAGTGAGTGACTTTTCTTCGGGTGTGGGGGTGTGTCTAGGAGGGGGGCCGAATTGTGGGACGCCTGCTAGCGTAGAGTGGTTAGCGTCTGTAGTGGTGGGCCATGCGTGCTGAGAAGGCGCTGCGCTGCGTCTCCCGCTCTCATGCGTTCTAATGCCCGCTCAAACTGCCCCTCCTCATTCTCTTTGGAGGACCCCCTGTGCGTCACCCACTCAAACAACTCCTCAACCCCATCCACCCAGGCGCACCCTGGACTGGACCTACGGCTACCACGCCGGCAAGAACCCGTCCTTCCTGTGGCAGTGGGTGGGCGCCGCCTTCTTCTTCCTCTTCTCCGCCATCACCTACACTCTGACGGAGCGCTCTGTGGTCGGCCGCCTGCACACCACTGTGCCCAAGGTTCTGAACGTCGGCCTCCTGGTGGCCTCCCTCTTCTTCATCCTGGACTTTGGCACCCTCATCTTCAACAGCCCCATTGCGGTGGGTGCTTGGGGTCGGGTGTGGGGGGATGCAGTGATTGTGGTGCCTGCTCATGAACACTGCTTGGGTCATGCGAGGGCTGGGAAGCGCTGTATTTCATCGTGGGAATATCACCTCCTTGTCCTGCATGCCCCGCTGACGTCTGCATCCTGTAGTAATCAGTGGCTTGTTAGTGTCTTCAACCGCAATCCCCCACCCTCACCATTCCCCTTTTCCAGGGCCGCTGGCTGCTGCCCGTCCTGTTCGGGCACTGGGTCCTGGTCCTGCTGGCCTCCATCCTGGGCCTCAGCGCCTCCCCGCCCGCCACTGCCTATGAGTACGAGCCGCTGCTCGGCGAGGGCCAGGTCTGAGCGCGGCCTTGCCGTCGCTGACTTGTAGGCACCCTTGCACGTGCTCCGCACGCAAAGGCACACCACCACGCTGAACCTGATCGATTCGACCGAGGGGATCCGGCCCCACCCCATGCGACGCCATCATACTCCGATGCGACGTCGCGCCGCCGCCGTGTTCGGCGTCCGGGAGCCTGCCTGCGCAACTTGCGCCTGCTTTCTAAAAACTTGTCCCCCTTGCCAGTAGCGTAGCCCCTCCCCTCCCCTTGTGACGGCCTTTGTTCTGCCTGCCGTGTGCTTCCGAGAGTTGCAACAGATTCTATGGGATTCAACAGGGCAGCTGGGTGTGTCAGTGAGGGCATGGGAGCCAGGAACTGGGTTGATGACGTGGCACCTCCTGTCGTTGTGTGTGTGTGGTGGGGTGGCCATGGTAAGGGCAGGGCTTGGCACCCTGGGAGTCAGGAGGGAGGCTGTGGGGGCCACCACGCCGCCCCTCGCTACCCAACCCCCCGGCTGCGGTCACTTGAAGTCGCCGTCGAAGGAGGTGAACCCTGCTAGCGCAAAGACGTGGGCGTATTCCTTCTTTTCCAGCTTGCTACACCAGTTCCAGGCGCTGGTCAGCCGGCCGTCGATGCAGGAGCCGGCGTCGAAGAAGTTGTCGGCCCCAGACCCGTCAAACGCGTGGCGGAAGAAGTCGAGGAGCACCGCCCCGCGGCACCCCGCCACCGACCCGTGCACGGCCTCCACGTAGGCGCGGACCGCGCGGTCGCGGCACAGCGTGGGCAGCGCCTCCAGCACCAGCACGAGGGGCCCCAGGATGCGCGGCACCTGGGTGTACTTGTCGATGAAGAGGAGGGCGTTGGGCACGTTGTGGTCGCCCAGGTGCACCACCGAGGAGCCCACCCAGCCGCCCAGCCGGCGCTGGCACCGCGCCAGGATGGCGTGCATGGCGCGGCCGACGCCGGGCGCTGCCTGCACGCGCTGCAAACCCTGGCCCGTGTTCTGCAGGCGGTAGTAGTTGGAGGGGTGCAGCATGTCGGCGTCGGCCATGTACCACAGCTTGAACATCTGTGGAGAGAAAGGAGGGGGGGGAGCCAGAGGGGGGTGGGTGGGTGGAGGGGAAGGAGGGAAGGAGGAAAGGGTCTTGGTGGGGGAGCCGTGCAGTAGCTATGGGGCCACGACCTTGGGGGCATGCCACGATCTTGAATCCCTGGAATGTCTCTCACTGCCCCTTCTCCCGGTGCCCGCGAACAAGCTCACCCCCTCCCAGCCCTCTCCCATCTGCAACCAATCCAAGCTCACCTCGTGGGAGATCTCGCGCCACAGCGTCAGGCTCTGCAGGACGTATGTGTACTGACGTTCATGCGAGTGGGTGAGGCGCGCGCCCTGCGACCCGCCCTGGATGGCCAGGCTGGCCCCCGGCTCCGCCTTCTTGGGGGAGAAGTGCGCCTCCAGGTACCCGATCATCCTGGGGAATGGGGTGCCGAGGGGAGAGCGGGTGTGTCATCGGCCGCGGCTGCACCCAGGATGGCTGACTGCCCTCATGTGAGCCATGCAAGAGCATTACAGGGGTGCTCCATACTCAAGAAACCCCCCTCTGTCCCGACCCGGTCTACAATCAATGCCACAGACATGCCCCTGCGCCATCCGCCACCCGCCCATGCTCCGCACTTGTCCACGGGGTCGCGATTGAAAAGCAGGTACGTGTTGTTGTCAGAAATAGAGTACAGGCAGCGCAGGACGTCGTCCTCGGAGAGCGTGGCGGAGCGGTGCCGCCGCGCCAGGACCTCCCTCGCACGCTCCTTGGCCTAGGGGGGGACGGGGGGGCGTGGGTGAGGCCGGCAAGGGCATCGCCGGTTTCCCTGCCTCCAGAGGGCAGCCAGGCACGAATCGGGTGATGGCTCAAGCGCGCCCCCACCCTCAGCCTGTCGCCCCTTTCAACACCGGCCTTCAGCACACACCACTTCCCCCCCTTTCTTAAGCCACCTTGATGCGGCGCTGGACCTCATGCCGCGGCACGCCCGACGCGTGGATCTCCGCCGTCGCGCAGTCCAGCAGCGGATCGTCCAGCAGGGCCAGGGCGCCGGCGCCCTCCAGCAGCGTGTACACCGTCCGCAGCGGCCGTATGCAGCTGTGGAGGGGAGGAGCGAGTGTTTGGGCATCGGTGACCACCAAAGGGAATGTCAGGGAGGGTCGCGCCTGGCGTTAGCAACGTGGGCAGCTGAGAGGTCACCCTGCTTCCCGGTCTACTTTGCAGCAGGTGGCGAGGCAGGAACCTTCCGACCCTCACTCCATGGATGCTGGTACAGACAGCCTAAACAGATACAAAACCCTCTGGACCTGCCCGCTGCCCTCTCACGGGGCTCCGGCCATGTCATCAACGCCTCTAGAGCGTTTCCTTCGAACCCCCCCCTGACCAAGACAGAGCCCCTCTCCCATTCCCCCAGCCTTGACCCACTTGAACTCCAGCAGCTCCTGGATCTCTGGCTCCGAGGCGTCCATGAGCATGTACATGAGCTTGCCGTAGGTGTCCCGCATCTTCTCCGGGTTCATGATCTTGTGCCGGCGCCCCACCTCGAAGCAGTCCTGGAAGAAGGTGGCCAGCCCGGCAAAGTCGCGCTGCACGATCAGCTTCTGGCCGCGGCGGAAGTCCTGGGCCACCACCAGGCCGCACAGGATGGCGCAGATGTCCTTGACCTGCGCGTGCACGCGCGCGGACTTGCTGCGCCAGCTCAGCACGTCTACGCGGTCGGTGTACTCGGAGACAGACAGCGCAGCCTCCAGCAGGCGCAGCAGGCGCCGTTCCTCGGGGTCCAGGCGCAGCGGGATGTAGCGCGCGCGCTCGCGGAAGGTGTCGTGCAGCGTCAGGCCCGACAGCGGGGCGCCAGCCTGATGGAAAGGAGGGCAGGCGGGTGGTGATGTGGGTTCTGGTGAGGGTGGGGGTGGGGGATTGAGGCAGGGGGCCGCGCCGTGGGGGAGGGGCAGAGGTCAGGGATGAGGAGCCAGACCAGCTGCTCCTGGAAAGGGCCACAACTCAGAGCATGCAACAGGAGGCATCACCGGCGAACCCACCCAGCCAGTCCGGTGCACCGCCTGACCTTGCCCTGCGGGGCTGCCTCCTCCGCCTCCTCCGCCTCCTCTTGGCCGGTGCAGCCCCCCTCCCCTGCACCTTCCAAACCCTCCCGGGCTGCGTCCTGGGCCTCCCGCATGCGCTTGGGGCTCATGGCTCCACCCGCGGCGTCGCCCAGGTTGGCCTGCACAGGAGTTGCAGCATGGGACATGCATGCGCCAGTCCAGCGAACAATCAGGGGAAGTCTTTCACTGCACCCCATGCACGATGAGCTGCCCTACAAAAGCATAGGCAAGCCTCACCTGGGACAGACTCCGCTTGGTGGCTTCGCACTCGGTCCTGAAGTGGCCGGCCGTGGTGTCGAGGTCGACGGCCGCCGCCTGCAGGGAGGCGGCGAGTTCGGAGCACCTGGGGGCCAGGGCGGCGCCCGCTGCGCCCGACTCCGCCGCGGCGCTGTGGATGGACCCGGCCTCGGAGGCCAGGACGCGCGTGTCGTCCGCCTTTTGACCCAGGTATTCGGCCATCTGCTGGCTGGCCACCAGGAAGCGGCGCTGGGCTGCCGAGGCGTCGGCCTCCGCCTTTACCCTGGCGGCATGCTCCTCTGCAGGACCATGGGGAAGAGGCGTGAGCAGGACCCCGGCGCGACGCAGCATGCACACCCAGGACCCATCAGCGACAGGATAACAGGCAGGAACATCTATCAGGCGCTCCGCTCCAATGCCGGGCAGCTGCTCTAGAGCGGCATGCATTCGCGAGCGGGCATTGAATGTAACGAAATTTCACCCCTGCGCACCGTATAAAAGCTGCTCCTGGTCCTCCTGGTGATCCCTGTCCCCGGACTCCGGCACCGACTCCTGAGGCTGCCCATCGAGAATGCTGTCTAGCTGCGTCATGGCGCCGGGGCTGCTCTCCGCCTCACTCGACTCAGAGTCAGTGCGCGAGAGAGAGGCACGCCAGAAGGTCGACACCAAGCTGTGCCACACCCTGGAGGGGAGCATGCGGGGTTGTCAGCATGGCACGACGAGGGGGTGGAGAATGCGGCCGGGAGCTTCGCTTGACAGCTTTTCTGAGGTGCCCCTGGGTTTCTTGGGCGAATCCCGGGGCCCCGTCGGGCAACGACGAGAGTGTAACAGCATGGCGCGATTACGCGCCGGCGCGCGTGTCCACAACAGGCATGGTGCGACCTGCTCAGCTGTCACGTAGAGCTGCAGAACTTGTCACTTGGCTTTCTGACGGCCCAAGACCTAGGAATATGGATATGCAGTTCCGTGAAGCCGTCCAAGGGGTGAAAAGTGTGTACTTTGGTATTGTCTCTGTGCAACAGGTACATGCGAAGCAACAACCTGCACCGCCAGTCCCAGTGGGCAATGCTGGGCACATTCACGCCCTCAGAGGAGCAACATTAGGTCTCATTCACGAGAACAGATCACTGAGGCTCCTAGAAGATCTTTCAGGGGAAATTAATGCACAGTTGCATAATACATTATGTAATGGGAAATCACGGAAGAGAAAAAATCCTCCTGCGAACCACCATCCGTCAGGTGTTCAGCAGTGCGGCGGGTCCGTCCAGAGACCAAAGCGCGTCATTTGTTTTAGTGAGTGTTAGCGCCTGAGGAAGACCTTTGCGACCGGTTCGAGACCGCCGTACCTCGCTCTGGTGATCCCTGCTGCATCCCCACCTGTGAGGCAGCCGAAGTCAAGTCCCACACGACCACGCTCCAGGCAGCCCGAAGGTCAAGCAGTCGACAATAGACTGGAATGGCGACTGTGAAGCGGCGCGAGTGCGTCTACTTTTACGATGAGGAGATGACCAACTACAACTACGGGGGGGGCAACCCTATGCGGCCGCATCGCGTCAAGCTCACCACACAGCTGGTGAATGGGTATGGTCTTACGGATCAAATGCAGATTCTGCGACCGGTGGAGCGTACCCGTGAGGAGATCATGCTGTTCCATGCTGACGGTACGCCGGGGGGTGTCGGCGAGCGGGTGTCTCATTCCAGCAGACATGCCCAGCAGCATGATATGGAACCTACGTGAGTGTGGAACCATGCAACTAAGCAGGAGGCCTGCAGCCCGTGCGCGAGTTATCTACATCCACCCCCCCTCTCGGCCCCCCGGGGCCCTCCAGATTATGTGGACTTCCTCAACTCGGTCACGCCGGACAACCAGGAGGAGTTCATGATGCAGATGCGGCGCTTCAACCTCGGCCCCGTGGGCGAGGCCGACTGCCCTGTGTTCGACGGCATGTTTGAGTACTTCAGGGTGCGCTCAGGCTCGGCACACAGTGCCCTCTTGTTCTTCAGACGGGGAACCCTGTCAGGTGCCTGCCTGTTACTTTTGACCGCCCTCTGTTCTGTTCACTACTACACACCAATCCCAAGCACGGCCAACACACTTGAACTCTCCTCCCCCCCTCCTTTCTCATTCCAGATGTACAGCGGGGGCTCGGTGGGCGGGGCGGCCATGATCAACGACGGCCAGGCCAACCTGGTGATGAACTGGTCGGGGGGCATGCACCATGCCAAGAAGGGCGAGGCCTCTGGCTTCTGCTACATCAACGACATCGTCCTGGGCATCCTGGAGCTCCTCAAGACGCACCAGAGGTAAGGGCTGCAGGGTGTTGTGTTGTTCTCATGTGAGAATGACTCGAGGGGGAGTCTGTAGTCCACGCAATGGAAGTCTCTGGCTGGGCACGGGACGCTGCCTGCCGCAGACCCTCTCTGCCTGGTTGTTGCCTCTTCTTCACTGTATGCCAGAGGTTGCAGGAAAGTGCAGGCTCCGATCATCCCTGCCTCCCTATCCCGCAACGCGCATCCACACCCACACTCGCATGCACACAAAAACAAACACCGCAGGGTTCTGTATGTAGACATCGACATCCACCACGGCGACGGCGTGGAGGAGGCCTTCTACACCACCGACCGCGTCATGACCGTCTCCTTCCACAAGTACGGCGACTTCTTCCCCGGCACCGGCGCCGTGGGCGACATCGGGCACGACGGTGGCAAGCTCTACGCGGTGAACGTGCCGCTGGGCGACGGCATGGATGACGAGTCGTACAAGAGCGTGTTTGAGCCCATCATGGCCAAGGTGGGCTGGACTGGATTCTGTTGAGGGGAGGAGAGGCTGTGGTATGGTGTGTGGGCGACAGGGCAGTCTGAGGAGGGAGTTGCATGCCCGGCATACAAGCTACTACGAGCTGCTCATGTTGCAGCCTGAGCTGTCTCTGACCAGGGTGGAGCGCCTGACCCTCCTGGACCGGTCTCCCTGGCCAGGCACCCCAACTCTGCACCCTGAAGCTGCAACCGTGATCTCTCAGGCCCTGCCCCCATCCTCGCCCCAGGTCATGGAGATGTACCAGCCCAGCGCGATTGTGGTCTGCGGCGGCGCAGACTCGCTGTCCGGGGACAAGCTGGGCTGCTTCAACCTGTCCATGCAGGTGTGGGGTGCTGGGGTTTTGAGATCGAGTCTGGGCTTGGGCTCAGAGGGCCCTGAGGAGCACACCGAGAACATGGCCACCTGTGTGTTTTGGGCTCACATTCCGTGTGTCTCAGCAGCACAGCTTCCATTGCCGCAACCTCATCCCTGCCCCCACCCTGCATGCCCCGTCACCTCTCCCCGCCCCATCAGGGCCATTCCAACTGCATTGAGTTCCTGGCGCGGTACAACGTCCCGCTCATGGTACTGGGCGGCGGCGGCTACACCATGCGCAACGTGGCGCGCTGCTGGTGCTTCGAGACCGGCCAGCTGCTGGGCGTCGAGCTGGATGACGAGTGAGCGTTGGGGATTGGGGAGATTGGGCGGCACAAGAGTGTAGGATGTCGCTGTGTTGGAGGGTAGCAGGGTGCGCAGGGTTCTGGCTCGTGCATTAGAGTTGGAGACTCATTTTCCATAGAGCTCAAGATCGAAAAAACGGGACAGCTGCTCTTGGTCGGCGATGTGTCCAGTGGGAGGGGCTGCAAGGCATCCAGCAGCTCACATCGCGCCGCTTGGCCCCAACCTTGTCCCACATTTTCGGGATTCTGCACAGCCTCATGCCTACCCTTTGCCCTCCTTACACGCCCCCCCCTCCCCATCCAAACAGCATCCCCGAGCCCGCGCTGGGGGAGTACGACTACTACATGGACACGCACAAGCTGCGCATTGCAGGTGGGCGCAAGCCACACGCTGTGCATACTGCGGGTGTTCCTGTGTGTGGCTGGCGCGAGCAGGGTGCTCAATCCTGCCCCACAGGGCACCCTCCACCGCCCTCCACCTCTTCCCCACCGATGTTGCGTAGTGAGCAACATGAAGAACACCAACACGCGCGAGGCGCTGGAGCGCATCAAGGTGCAGGTTCTGGCCAACCTGGCCTTGCTCCCGCCCGTGCCCTCGGCCCAGATGGCCCCCCGCCCGCCCAAGACCGAGCTGGTGAGGAGCCTTTGTGTCGATATTGCCTGGTTGACTGTGCATGCTGCAATGATTGGATGCCAGGCAGGGAGTGACGGGCCAGGCGTGCAATTTGCAGCCGACGGACGCGCCGTCGTCAGTGCATCGTCCCCCCCCCCCGCGTCCCACCCTCCCTTTCCTCCCCAGCCCGACATGCCAGAGGTGGACATGGACGCGAGGGGTGGGGGCCAGGCGTACGATGACAAGCGCGTGGCGCACGATAATGATTACGCCTCGGGTCAGTACTGTGCTTTGTATCTGGATGGAGGGGCCTGGAAGGAGAGACTTCAGTCTACTAGCCGGCACAGCGGATGCTGTTCACAGCAAGGGAACATGCAACACATGTACCATGTCCCCATCAACCTGATCCCACCTGCAACCCCCCCTGCCAAACCAGGTGATGAGGATGTGCAGCCGGCCCGAGACCTGCCTGTGAGGCCCAAGGAGGTAAGGGGATTGTAAGAGGACCTCTTTTGCCCCCCCAGAGGTCTGACTCAACACCCCCTTCATGGCTGCGACTACGCACCTCTCAAAGCCTCACCACTACCAAACATGCACGTTCAACCCCCACTTCCTTCTCCACCAGGAACCGGTTGACCTGGGCCTGCCCACCGTCGCGCTGGTGGACCGTAATGGCTCGGCACCCTCCCAGCCCATGGACGTGGATGGCTTCGGCGAGGGCGGCGGGGAGGAGAGCAAGCCAGCAGCCGCACCCGCCGCCGCGGCCGCCCGCCCCGAGTCGCGGACCGACGAGTCCTTCCTGGCGTCCGCCACGGAGGGCGCGGCGCCGGCGCGGGAACCAGCGCTGACGCTGACCGGGATCGTGCAGCCCATGGAGGAGGAGGGCGCGGCGTACGAGACCAGCCCGGGAGCGCCGGGCGCTGGACTGCCTGTCGCGACCACTCCCGCGCCCGGCCAGCCGGACGCCGGCGAGCAGGGCTTCTTCCCGGCGGACCTGGCGCAGGCGGCGGGCACCGCGGCCGGCGACCAGGCCGTCATCCCCGATGCGGAGGAGGTGCGACAGGCGGTGGCCGACGCCGCGCCCTCCCAGGACCTGATCGGCCAGGCGCAGGGCTGACAGATGATCAGTCATCAGCCGCCAAGGCTCCAGCACGTTGCGGACGCGTTTGCGCCGACCACAGCCGCCTCTCCTCTGCATGTCATGTATGGCGTCTGGCACGATGTACCCCCTCTGATGCGCCGCGCTCGGCATGTACCCCCCGCACCTTTGATGATGGGCGCTGACCCGGCACCGGCACCTGGAAAGGGGATCCCACAGCAGCAGCAGAGAAGGACACAAGACCACGGGGAGAGGGGACGGCGTTTCAGAGGAGAGCAGAGCCTGGCATGATCCGCACGTGCCGGGTACTGCAGCCTCAGGCCCGGCGCATCGTGCCGCGCACGGCCTTGACCGCCAGCGCGGCCGTGGCGGCCGACAGGGTCAGCCACGTCGCGGCGTAGTTGGTGTGGTCGCGCGGCATGACGGAGAAGGAGCACAGCTCGTCCAGGGTCTTGGGCAGGGGCACGACATCGGGCACGGCCGGCAAGCTCCTGGCCCTGCCCCCCAGCACCTCCATGGCCGAGGGCGGCTTGACCACGGTGGGCGCGTCTGCGGCTGTCGGGGGTTGGGAGGGCGGCGCGCAACCGTGTCGGAGGGGTCGGGCGGGGACTGGAGGGAGGGGCGCACAGGCATGGTACCGCCGAGGTGTGAGTGAATGGCTGCTCTCGCTCGCACTCCTCGTCCCAACAGGGCGACATGCTGGAGCAGTCCGCACTTCGACCCCGCCCCCTGCTGGCCCCTCCCCCACGCGCCCGGACCCCTGACCACAGCAGATAGCCCCGCGCCGCGCCGACCACCCTCACCCAGGATGGCCTCCACGAGCGGCGTGTCGGCGTCCCGCCCCGCAGCCTGCGCCAGCTCAGCGGTGTTAACGTAGTACCAGGTGCAGGCCTCCAGGTCGTTGGGAGGGACAAACTGGCCGGCTCGCTCGCCGTGCCGCACCACGCCCACGACCGTGACCTGCGGCGAGTCTCGCGAGCGAGGTGTGTGCTGACTACAAGGCCACGCACCCGTTGATACCGGTGCGGCAAGCAGACCCTTGCTGGGCCGCCCCCCCCACCTCCGGTCCCAGGCACCTGTCCGCTGGGTTCTCCGACCCTCCTTTCCTCTGGGTCTGTCCGCCAGGAGAGGGGGACCCAGCCCCTATTCACCAGCGCCGTGCGCTTGCCGTCTGCGCTGGTGAGCGGCGTGACGACCAGGTAGCTCTGCGGCGTTTTGGGGGGGAGTGCGGGTAAAGCTCGCAAGGAGATGGCCGTGCCTGGCCGTGAAGCAGGCAGCGGCCACACTCCCGGCGCACCCCAGCCATAGGACAACCCGCCGCAACCCCCACCTGCTCCGTCACCCCCGCACTGGAGGGCCGGCCCCGCGGTCCCACAAAGGCTGCCTTGGCGTGATCGTACGTGCCCGTGAGGGTCACCCGGGAGTACTCGGGCGGCAGCTCATCGACCGCAAACAGGTCGATGGGCTCCGCCAGCAGCTGCTCCCTTCTCTCCTCCAGCAGCCTCATCTTCCACTGCCGCCGCTCCAGCTGCCAGTTGCCCAGGTAGGCCGCCAAGAGGCTGGGGATGCCCAGCAGGGCCGCTGACCAGGGGGTCCTCCTGGACCCCGACCCGCTGCGAGCGGCCACGCCTGCTCTGAGGAAGTTGGGTAGGAATGCTACAGCAGGTGGTCACAATGAGTAGGGGCGGTGCATGCACCAAAGAGGGTGAGACCTACCTCCTGATCGGGGCGCAGGGACGCTGTGAGGCTGGCTGGCGAATGCCCTTGAGCTGATTGGGGGAGGGCGAGGAGTTCCCTGAGTCGCACGCAGTCCCAAGGCAGCGACAGCTTCTTCTAAAGCCCTAGTCGCAGCCTTGAGGGTCCCTGAGGTGATCCCCTGCTCGCATCGGGCTGCCAGACCCGGCAGTCGCATAGTCCGGAGCACCATGAAGGACATGACGCAGGCAGCGATCAGGTTGTGCTGCTATACCATATCATATCGTTGCGATTAGCTGAACTTTATATCACCTCGCTCAAGCATTGGCAGTCGCAGATACATGGAGTATGAATCATGAGGGTTCCCAGGCATTGCATGGGTTGCATGACTAAGCACCGCTGCCAATACTGAAGAAGAGCATGGCAGAGGAGGAAGAAATGGGGGTCACAGTGGTGGTCCAAGGATAGCCAATGCCCATATTGCCAATTTTGAAGATGAGTTCAGATTCAAATTCACTTCCAGAGAAGAGAAGAGACCTTAACTGATGATGTCTCACAAAAGGTTGTGCACATCCTGTGACCAGATTTCCTGCACATTGCACTCACTGTCTGTACACTACATGTATTGTAAGGAATTACCTTCTGGACCTTGAATGTCTATCTTTGGTGCAGTGAAACGGGACCCTCCCCACACATCATTGACCCCAACTTTCTTGCTTGCGATCGACGCCCCCCCTTGACACAGTCGTGGTCCGTGGTCCGGTAAAAAAGGGGGGCAACCTCAACCCGAATCCCTCGATGGCACAGAGAGCACCGGTGTCGTTACCCTGTTGATTCTATACTGGTGAGGAGCTGGGCTTGCTGAAACCGCTGTTGCCTGCAGTGGCGAAGCCTCAGGGCCGGGTAGTCCAGCCTTCCCTCAAGGCACCGCGAAGGGCGCCGGCCAGAGGATACACACCGGAATCGAAACAGCGTATAGTAGCAGTTATCCTTAGGTGAGGGTTTTACTCAAAGATTGTTTGTGACGAGCACTGGGCGCTCTGGTTGAGCCCCCCCGTGCGAGCGGCACCTATCCTCTCTCCCGGGCCGCAGGCATGTCTTTCCCCAGCGACCGACCAGAGGACTGTGCCACCCGAATCGGCATGGGTGTAGCCTCAGGAGCGGTGACAGGCGCCTTCCTGGGCGCCGTGGCGTCCAACTGGGGAGACATCCCACTGGTGCTGCGTAACAAGCCCCTGCCCGCCCTGCTCCGGACGGGGAACGTCATGGTGAACTACGGCGCCACCCTGGCTGTAGTGGGCCTCACGTACAGCGCTGTCGACGTAAGGAGGGGAGGCGTGTGCCACCCTATGCTGTGGGAGGCTTGTGACAGGGGAGGGGCTTGGTTATTCATCCCCAGCTGTATTGTGCCCTCCGCCAAAGTCACTGGGGCCGTACGACCCATTCATCCATCCCCTTTGCAAACCCAGTGCGTGGCTGAGAGCCTTCGTGGCAAGCAGGACTGGGTAAATGGATCTCTCGCGGGCCTTGCTACTGGTGGAGTCCTGGGAATCCGAAGTGAGTCAGCGGACGAGATGCTGTTGCCTTGTAGATATGTGGTCTGTCCACTCTGGTTGGGTTCCGTTGGGCGATGGGTACCTGTTACCAGGTGCTTGTTCCTCCGCCATGGTACCCGTCTTCTTGACATCCTCCTGACTCCAGGCAAACACACTCCTGTCACACAGTGGGCCGCATCCCAGTCGGCATTGCTGCGGGGGCTGTCCTGGCCTTCACCTCCGCTATGGTGGATGTGAGCGGGCAGAAGCTACGGTCTGATGGGTATGTAGACGATGGCGCCACCACAGGGCGCACAGTGTACCCCTATGATGCCTAAGGTGTCCGCCAAGGTCAATGTTGACCTGTGTGAGAGCAGTAGAATCAGACCAAATAGGTGCCACAAGGAGGTGTTGAGAACACATTGTTATCAAGGGGTTGGACTCAACACCAAAACGAATGTCAGGACTCGAAAATGCAATGAAGAGTGGTCTGCAAGGCCGACAAAAGGACAGGTCAAGGTGCGGCATGAAAACCTGGAATGTTGATCAGCTCCATGAGTCAATTGATATCATACTGCTCTGTGCAGAACAACAAGAATGGGGCACCACACAGTTCATGTGTGCAGTTGGCTCCATAGTCCAAAGTCGTGGGGGCACTGAAACTGTAAGATTTCGGTGCTCCTGTCAACAGGGGAGCTCGGTTTTGGGCGAAGTCTGTTGGCTCGTGCTCTCCTTTCCAGTTCACGACTCGCTTCGGATTTACAGCCTGCACCCAGACCGCAATGTTGGGCCAAGGGAAGGTCAATATTCCATATTGAAAGAATACATGGCTCACCAAGGACAATAAGAACCTCCCTAAAGAGGTCGCGTGGCTGCTGATGAGGGTCCTCTCTGGGCTCGGAACCTCGACCAGCTCACGATGCCTGGTCATCGCTCCACAAAGGTGCTCATCGCTCTTTGCATTGTCATTGTTAAAAGTGCTCCCATAATGTGCATCCATCCCAGCGCTGATAGCTCCCTCATCAACCCCGGCCTCAGGAGCTTGCACTGCCGCCACCACATTCTCCCTCGCCTCGTCCACGGCGCCAAGGCCCGGGATGACCGTGATTCATTCGACGAGTTCTTCTCCAGTGAAGACATACGAGAAGTATCGCAATATATGCCCGACCCCGACCAGCAGCTGTTCGGCGATGGTGGGCGAAGGGGGGGGGGCGGGGGGACAGGCTTGCTGACAGGAGGGTGGCCCCCCGGATCCTCCAGGGTTATGTCAGGGCTTGTGTGGGCACTCCATCCCCCAAGACCGTTACAATCCTGGGACATGAACGGCAGGGCATGGGCTGTGGGCTCCTACCGTCTTGGCAGGCACCCCGGTCCACCCCAGCCAGTCCCTCAGACAAGTGTGCAGCCTTGCGGTCCGGCACGGGCGTGCTATGGGAGGCTCCGCTGGGGTCGGCCTGCCCTGCATGCCGTCCCCAGTCGTTCCTCTGATGGTGCAGCCCCTTTTCCTGTGCCGGCCGTTGCATACCTTTGTCATCAGTGTCCAGGGAACATCTCTGCGCCCCTTCTTCTGCTTCATTCCTGGCTCTCTTCGTTGCCTTGATGCCGGTTGTTTGTCCAAAGCTTTGGAAGGGAGACCATCAATCACTGAATATGCTTGTCCAGCATTAGCTTCTTGTGCCAGGCCCCTCCCCTAAGCCCTCCCACTCCCTCTTTCCAAAAATCCAGAGTCCTTGGTGGACACCTCGGGCTTCTCCAACCCCGGGCCACTGGCCGGCGGCCCTGACCAGACCTCTGGTGGGCTGAGCCAGCTGTTTGGTGGCACGCTGCAGAGCTCCTGGGACGACTCCCTGCTGCCCCAGGACCCCAACACAGGCCCGGTGCCGGGCCCATTCCCCACGTCCCCGGGCGGCTGGGACCGGGGCGTCCAGGGCGAGGACTCCACCCTCTTTGACGACCCGGACCCGGAGGACGTGGCCATGGAGGATTACCTCATGGAGAAGGCGTGGGACGAGACTCTGACCCTGCACCACGACAACCTCAACCGCTGCGTGAACAAGTGAGCTGGGTGGCTGGCTGGGGTGGTAACGGGATGCAGCACAGCATCTGGAGTTTGTGTGTTTGGGGTGGAAATTTCACGAGGTCCTGGCAGGCTGTCGAGGCTACGGCATAGGCCTTACACCTGCTCAGCTGCCATTGCCATGCCTCCCTCTCATCAACACTCCAACGACCTTCACATCCCTCTCCCCCAGATTTGCCATCACCCACCGAATGGCCGAGGTCCTGGAGGAAATCGAGGCAGAGGATGCGCTGATGAATGTGCGGTGCTGCTCTCCTTTGATCCTGGGATGTTGACCATTGTGGGGCTGATCTTTGAGCATCATTCTGCAGAACTCAACGCTCATTCCTCCTTTCCTCCTCTCGCTGGCCGCAGAGGGACCACGACCCCAAGCACTACCTCCCCGCCTGGATGCGGGCCGTCAAGGTGATCAACGACAACCTGGATCAGATCAACAAGGGTGAGTAGGATTGGGCTGCTCATACTCATTGTTGCTGATTAGTGAGGCACGCGGGTGCTGCTAATGCCTGGTCTTGGGGCATGCCCCTCGCCCAGATGCGATGCCCAAACCCCTCCCCCTCCCGCCCGCCCACGCACTCCAGAGACGCGCGAGGCGGAGGCTGAGATAAGTCGCAACGCCAATGATGCCTTCCAGGACATGGTCAACGAGCACCTGGAAGAGATATGTGAGTGTTTATGATTTGTTTGGAAGGCTGGGTTCTGGAGTCCTTGATCATCTGTGATGTAGACATGAAAGCGAGATCCAGCAGGGGAGGTCTGAGAGACCTGTCCAGTCGGGTGTGGGGCAAAGCCATTACCTGATTGGCACGTCTATCGCCAGGAGGCATTCCAAGTCCCGCTTTCCACCCCTTCCCAACCACCACAGACGCTGTGCAGAGCGAGATGGACGATGACCAGTCGCACTCCCAGGATTCTTACGAGGACAGGGATCAGGTGCGGGGGTTGGACGGCCGACCCAGCGCCTCCCAGCGCAGGAAGGAGCTGCAGCGGTGAGCCAGCGGGGCGTTGGAGGCAGTGCAAGGAGGAAATGGGGTGCCTCGGCAGAGACAAGTTTGAGTAGGTTTCTGCCTTATCGGTCGTTGTGTCATCCATTTTCTCTCATCAGCTCTGCGCAGAGGCTGCTGCTGAGGCTCCAGCCAGTCATTATTATCTCTCTAATGCCCCCCTCAATATTTGTCCTCAGCTTCAAGGGGATCGGGCTGGACTTCCTGACGGAGATCCTGCCGGGCGCTGAGCTGGCGCTGCCGGAGGTCGCCGAGCAGCACCTGGAGGCCCTTGCAGATGCGGAAGAGGTGCGCCTGCACGCAGCAGCCGCGGCCGCAGAGGCCGAGGCGGAGTCTGAGGCTGAATCCGAGGACGACGAGGAGGCCGGCGGCGCCTTTGCCCTGCTCGGGGAGGAGGATGAGGAGGACGAGGAGGACGAAGAGGAGGAAGGGGTGGATATTGCTGCGGACTTGGATGTTGTGGATGAGGACGAAGAGGAGGAGGAGGAGGAGGAGGAGGAAGGAGGTGCCTTTGATGGAGCTGAGGAGTAGTGGACGGGGTTGTCAACGCCCTTGCTTGCCGCCAGAGTTGCCGGCTTGAGCCGCAGAACCCATTGCGGTTCCTCAAAATATTGCCTTGGTGTAGAGCTCGCAACTCTGGCTCCACAAATGCTGGAATAACTTGCTTGGTGGGATTTTCACTTGACCCCACCCACTGCAGTCCCCTTGCCATACACTAGCATTCTTTCAACCCCTGCGGGGCGCACGCCCCTTGCCATTTCCATTGGCGTCGGTGTTGCTCCAAAGTTCTGATATGTGCTGCTTGGCGATTGGCTTGTCTGTACAATCGATCTGCATCAGGTGTGTCCAGGGAATTCCCAGTACAGCCGACATCCCAAGCGCCAGCACTTGCACAGCGTGCGTGGCGTGCCCTTCACAGGGCCCCATCCTGGTAAAAGTGGTGCGAGCGCTTTGGCGGGTGCGGCTGTGCGGCCTCCATGGCCTCCTGGCGTCGGGTGCGCAGCATTGCACAGAGCTGGAGGACGCGCGCCGTCTCGGCCCCTGCGGGCGCCCTGTGGCAGCAGGCCGCCAGGTAGGCCAGGGTCGCGCTGGAGAGACGCGGCGCGCGCGCCAGTCCCGGGGCGGCACTGCTTGCCAGGCGCACAGGCTTGGGCGCGAGGGCGGGCACACTGGTTGCCGGCGGCGATTCGTGGCCACCTCCTGTCGGGCCGCCCGCCTCAGCGCCATCGCTTCCCTCAGACGCCGCCGCTGGGGTCGCCTCGGCCCCATCCTGGACGCCTCTGGCGCCAGGCCCCTGCATCGTCGCCCCCCCGCCGCCCAGGTCCGCCAGGCGCCGGCTCCGGCGCCGGCTCCGCACGCTGTCCGCCCCTGGTTCCTGGCCCCGCTCCTCCCTGCCCAGCCGCCCGGCATGCCACGCGTCGCTTGCGGCCTGCCAGGCATCCAGCGCGAGGAGCGCGTCCTGCAGCCGCCCCGCACGGCAGGCGGCCATGGCGGCCGCCTCCCACGCGCGGCGGAAGGGCAGCAGCGTCGCCGCCTGGGCGACGGGCGGGTACTCCTCGGCCAGGGCCCGGAAGTAGGCCCAGCCGTCGGCCAGGTGGCCGGGGGTCTCCAGGCAGGCAAGTGCCAGGGCCGCGGCCGCGCTGGCGCCCGGCAGCTGCCTGCTTGGTGGTGACACCACGGCACTTGCATCGCGGCTGGCTGCCTCTGGGATGACATCTGGGGGGGGACGACTGGCAGCGCCGGCCCCATCCTCGCTTGCTGATGCGTCTGAACTCCCAGCCCCTGCTGCAAGTCCGCCTTGACGGCCGGTGTCATGGAGTGACTGCGCCTCGTTAATGAAATGGCCCCACACCGCCTCCGCCTCGGCCAGCTGTGGCATGGGAGGGAATGCGAGGGGGTTCCCGAGGGAATGTGGTTGACACTTCATTGACTGTACGGAGCTTCTGGTACCCCATGAAATCAACAGCCCCAGTCCTTCCTCCGTCCTGAAACAGGGAATACACGACCTACGACTCCCAGCCACCTGCACACCCCTCTGACTTCCCAAAAACCCACGCCCTCTTCTTCATCCCTCACCTGCCCCGCCCTGGCCAGCGCGACGACAAGCCTGGTGGCGACATCGCGCCCCGCGCGCCCTCCCACCCGCCGCAACTCGGCGTAGACGTCCCAGGCGTCCTGCGCGCGGCCCAGCGCGGCGCAGCCGCCGACCACGGCGGCCAGCGTCTCCGGCCCCGCCTCCACCCCCTGCGCGCGCAGCAGGCCCAGCATGCGCAGCGCACGCTCGGGCTCCCGCGCCGCCAGCGCGCGCGTCAACGCGCACAGCGCGCCCGCGTCGATCGCCGCGTGCGCGCGCAGGAGGGTCTTCGCCCAGCCCAGCGCCTCGTCCAGCCGCCCCGCCTCGGTGCAGGCCGCCACCAGCGTGCCCGCCGCGCCCGGGTCGGTGGCCAGGCCCTCGCGGCAGGCCTCTGCGTACAACGCCAGCACGGCCCCCGCGTCGCGCAGCGCGCGCGCTGCGCGCAGCGCGCCGGCGTACGCGGCGGGCGAGCGCGGGACGCCCTCCGCGCGCATGGCGCGCAGCAGGGCCAGCGCGCGGCGCAGCGCGCGCGGCGAGCCGTCCGCCTCGCACGCTCGCATGAGCGAGGCGTAGTGCCGCGCATTGGGCCGCACGCGCGCCGCGCGCATGCGGCGCCACGCGGCCGAGGCGCGGGCCAGGTCGCCGGCGCGCGCCTGGGCCGCCAGCAGGGAACCAAAGGCGGCGGCGCCCGGCGGGATGGCATGAGCAGCGACAAGGCGGTCGAAGGCCGCCGCGGCGCCTGCGCCGTCGCCCGCCGCGCCGTGCGAGCTCACCAGGATGCTCAGCGTCGCCGCGTCGGGGGTCACGCCTGATGGTGGGTGATGATATGTGGGAGGGGACTTACGAGGGGGATCAGACGCAGGCATGCCATACGACCTACCCTTCCACATCCCCTCACGTGACCCACCGACGGCAAGCATGTCCCCCTCCACCGCCCGCGCGGCCTCCGCCCGGCCGCCCATGGACAGCGCGTGTGCGGCGGCGTTGAAGGCCAGCAGCGCGGCCTCCCTGGCCTTGCCCGAGGTGGGCGCCCGGCGGAGGTACAGGCCGCGCATCAACTCGTAGGCCTCTTGCGCCAGCGCATCCAGCCCGGAGCCGGCGCCGGCGTGCGCACAGGCGGCGAAGAGGCTGGAGAAGACGTGGGGCGTCTGTAGCTCCGGCGACTGAGGGGTTGTTTGGAGGGCAAGGGTGGATTCTCAGGTTAGTTGAATCTTGCCCAAGCTCCCAGGCGCCCATCAATCCACACGCCAGCTGCCCGCACTCTTTTTAATCGGCGGGGTAGGTGCCATTGCTGTCCCCAGGAAGCAGCGCACGCACCCGCGTTCCCCCTCTTTCACTCAATCCCCCGCCTCTGCTCCCTCTGGCATGCACACACATCCCAGCACACCCACCGCCTGGATGGCGCGCCAGAGGGCCGGCACGTGCCGTGGCGCAGCGCCGGGGCGGTGACGCAGCAGGCTCAGCAGCGCGGTGACCTCATTCTCGCCTGGCCATGGCAGCGCGTCCACCAGCGCCACCGCATCGGCCACCTGGTCGTCGCGCAGCGCCGTGCGCCGCAGCGCTGCCAGGAAGGCGGAGACCATGTGGGGCGTGGGGCGCAGTCCGCCCTCCCCCGCCGCCCGCAGCAGGGCCCAGAGCTCGTCGGCGTCGCGCAGACCGGCCGCGGCAAGGGCGGTGAACAGCACGGCGTAGGTGGTCGGCGTCGGCGCCAGGCTGGCGGAGCGCAGCGCACCCAGCGTGGCGCGTACCCCCGCCAGTGAGCCCCCGGCCCCGGCCGCCTGCAGCAGGCTGTTGAAGGTGACGACGTCAGGTGCGACGTGCCAGACGCGCATGCCCTGCAGCACCTGTAGTGTGTTTGTGGCGGAGGGAAATAAGTGAGCAGTAGGCCGCTGGCTGGTGGGCTGGGTGAGTTGGGCGTCGTGTCAGCGGGGATATTGGAAGAGGGTGGATGAAAAGGTAGCCTTGGACAGCACCGCAGGGACCCAGTGAACTATCGAGCGGTGCAGGGTGACTCCCGGGTGGAATTGTGCATGGAACACCAGGATACTCCTTACCAAACCCTCTTCAAAAGGGTGAGAATGGCCAAAAACAACCCACAACCATCCCAAAAGCGTGGCATCCTCACCTCATGTGCCCTCGGCCAGTCCCTGGCTCGGGCGCAGGCGGCGATGATGGCGTTGCAGGTGTACAGTGTCGGGGTGGGAGTGGTGCAGAAGACAGCCCAGGCCTCGGCCAGGGGGGCGCCCGCCCTCCTCAGCGATGTGACGACACGGGTGACCCACTTGGGGTCGCCGGGGTCGAGCCCCGACCGGGCACGGGCCTCGAGGAGGCAGCGCAGGGCGGGGAGGGAGCCCCGGTCCCCCGCCCAGGCGGCAGCCTCGTCCCAGGCGTGGCCCGGGCAGGGGGAAAGCAGGGTCAGCGTGCCTGCTGCATCTCCATGGAGCAGGGCCTGCTGGAGCTGGTAGGGGAGGAGGGGGGGGGGCTTGCGGTAGCGAGGGGCGTCGAAGCGGTGGGGTGCAGCGCTCCCTGCAGCGCGTGGCGCAGCTCTGCTGGGCCTGTTCTGGGTGAAGCTCCTCCTGATGGCAGGGCGGGAGGGTGTCACACGGGCGAGGCTGGGTGATACACCCCTTCCGCAGGTCACACAGACGAGGTGGAGGGATGTCATGCAACCTCCAGCATCGCGCAAGTAGTTTCTTGAGACAAGAATTTACATATGCCAACGTGCTGCTGTCGTCCAGGAGGGGATATCGTGCACGTTTCAACATCGATCTGAGCCTGGGGCGCTCGCGCCCTCCGTAAGCCATGCAACGGGCTTTCGCAGGAATACGAGGCAATCAATGGCGAGCGCTGACATCGATGGCATTTCCAATCCTGATATAAATGCCGTGAAACCCACGCTCAACCGGATCGAGCCTGAACGGCTGCCATGGAGGACCCCGTCCTGGATACGAGTCCTGCCTTGCGCAAGGCCTTTGCCTGCCTCCGAGACAAGTACGGGATGTCTGAAGACAGCTCGCCCCTGGACATACTAGGCAGAGTGGCGAGTGAACTTGGAGGCAGCCTGCGACAACCGACGGGAGCTATTACTTGGGCCAGTCAGGCCATACCTCAGGTGGGTGGGAGAGGAGAGGGCCACAGCCAATTTGGAGAGGCGGCTCTCGTGGTGGAGAGGTCACCCTACGTGCGTATGCAATCTTAAAACGTAGTTCTGACCACCGCTACGTTTTGCAGGACGTATCAGATGCCTGGCCAAGTAGCTCAGGAGACTCCGACACTGAGGAGACTCCGTACTCGACCTCCTGCTCAGACTCGATGCTGCCAGCCCCTCTGGGAGCGAGTGCTGCCCATTCTTCTGATTCTGGTGCTGATTTTGTTGAGGAGTCCACAGAAGGAGATTGCTCTGATTTCCCAGACGACCACGATCGTCCTTTTGATGAAAGAGTGCAGCACAACAAGAACAGGAAAGTCTGGCGTCCCCCGCCCCCGCCCCACAACGTGACCCAGCCATTAGCGCGCGCAGATGCCAGGTCGTCCTTCGAGGTGCGCTCTGGCTTTGGTGGTTATTACGTCGGGCGACGAGCCTCCTTTCGGCGCCGACCATGAGCACCTGCCCTCCACATGTGTGCACCCTGTGACAGGGGGGTCCGCCTGGCCCGCCTGAATCCCTCCCCGTGCCCATGCCTGTCACAGGGGGACTGGCGCAGCGCCACAGACCCCAAAGACTGCGTGAAGTGGCTGGCGCACCCCTTTGACGAGGATGACGTGCATCGTGCCCTCAGTAAGCCTTACCCGGTGCACATTCAACGGCCAAATTTGCCTGACTACTACTCTGATCTGTACAGCAGCAAAGGTAGGGAGCTGGAGGGTCATGTGGGGATGGAGAGGGATGCGGCAATGAGCCCCAGGGACCTTGGGAGCCTGCTGCCCCAGGCTTGCACAGCCATGCTTGGCAGGCTGCCCCGCGACTGCCCAGGGGGCGCCATGCTGGCCATGGCGCTCAAGAGCTCCTCGCACTCCTCCCCGGACTTGACTCTGCCCTCCTTCCTCCTTTCCAGACATTCGTGCCTACCTGGCCTCTGGCCAATGCCAGTACTCCTACAACGTGGACGTGGTCCGCTACGACGGCAGCAAGCGCATGAGCTACAACATGAACGACCCTGGCCCCCGACCGGGGTCCGCGCCGGGCACGCCGGCCAAGCTGGGTCGAGTGTGGAAGCGGTTTGAGAAGGAGGGGTGCTCGGTGCGGATCCTGCACCCCCAGCAGCACTGCGATAAACTCTGGGCCCTCATGTCCCGGCTGGAGACCGCCTTTGGCTGCTGTGTGGGCTGGTGAGGGCAGATGGAGTTTGTTGTATTTAGATGAGGAGCGGGAAGGGGATCTTCCGGATGCATGTGCTGTGTCACATCGAGCACAGAAGTCCATCAGGGGAGCAGCAACACAATCGTGGAACATCAACCCCCCACCCCTTGGGACCCCTTCCCTCTACGCAGCAATGCCTACCTGACCCCTCCTGGGTCTCAGGGCTTTGCGCCCCACTACGACGACATCGACGCCTTCATTCTCCAGCTGGAGGGCCGGAAACGGTGGTCCCTCTATGTCGACCCCAACAATCTGCTGCCACTGTGAGACGGGCGGGGCCTGCATGGGTACCGTGAGTCTGCATTTCGAGAGGCAGGGGCGCCGGGGGATCTCGAGGGGGGCCTAGTGCGATGCCGCAGACCCCATTTGCCCCACCACCCTCCCCTAGCCCCACCCCCATGTGCACTTTGCCCCGCCCAACAGGCACAACCGCGCCGACTTTGACAGGGCCAGCCTCCCCGCCCCCTGCATGGAGGTGGTCCTGGGCCCCGGCGACCTGCTCATCCTGCCCCGGGGCACCATCCACGAGGGGCGCAGCCTGCCCGACACCCACTCCCTGCACATCACCCTCAGCGCCAACCAGGGCTGCAGCTGGGCGGCCCTGCTGCAGGCGGCGCTGCCGGGCGCGCTGCAGGAGGCGGCGCAGCGCACCCTCGCCCTGCGCCGACCCATGGGTCCGGACTTCCGCCGCCTCGGCTGCCACACCGCCTTGGGATGGTATGCCTCCGCCTCGTACTCCCACCGCGCCGCATCCCACATCCAGGGTGCGGGGCCAGGGTGGGTGGCGTGCCGGGGCGCCGTGCCAGCTCGACCACCCGCGTGGACTGGGCCCTGCCCTCTGTCCTGCCCCCCCCCCGCCACTCCATCTGTCTGTCGTCCCCGACCCGGAACCCCCCGTGGCGGGGTCGACAGGCAGGACTGCAGCCCCACCTCACGGCGTGCGCGCCGCCCCCCCTTGTCCCTGCCGGTTGCAGGGGAGTGGGAGCTGCCCGGCCTCCTGGAGCGCCGCCTGCGCAGGATGTTCAAGCACTTCACCGACGCGCTGTGGGCCCACATCCACATTGCGGCCGAGGAGCAGTGGGAGGGGTTCATGGCGGAGCGGCTCCCGCAGTACCCGCCACTCCCCAGACCCGGTTCGTGGTGGCTGGGCCGGGGTTCGGACAGGCCGTGCTTTGGGCAGGCCGGAGCATGCTGCCATCCTCCTGCGCTGCTGCGTCGAGGAGGGAGGCCTGTTGCCCCTGTTGCCGACTGTGCAAGGAGTGGCGGCGGTGTTGCAGGGGCCATGCTCCGCACCCTGGCAACAGCACCGCACCCAACCGAGTGCCGCACGCTCACCCTCCCGGCCCTCGGGGCGGGGAATCCTTGTTTCGCGAGCCGTGCGCAGCGTCGGCGAACGCTCTCCATAATACTCCCCCATCCACCCCCACCCCCCCAACGCACACGAACACACGCACAGGGTCGGTGCCTCACACAAAGCTGCACCCTGGCTCCAGGCTGTCCCCCGTCGCCCAGCCAGGGGCCCTGCGCTTCACCCGCCCCGAACCCGGGGTCATCAGGGTCGTGCACGGCCTGTTCAACGACCGCGCCACGCATGCGCGGGGCGAGGCCGCCCAGGAGGGCGCCGGCACCGCCGGCACCGCCCTGGACTTTGAGCTGCGGCAGGCCGGCGTGCTGGCCAAGGCGCTGCTGCGCAAAGACCCGGAGGCACACAGCGTGGCCGAGATCCAAGCCATGTGCAAGGGGCACACCGAGGGAGGGGAGGTGCTGCAGGTGCTGCAGGCCCTCGTGGCCGCGGGCCTGCTGCGGGTGCTGGACCCCGGCGCGCAGTCGCCGAAGCCCGGGCGGCAGAAGCGGGCGAGGCGGGCGGACGAGGGCGCCGCGGGCGGCCGGCGGCACGGCACGGGGCGGGCGGGTGCCTGATGCGAAAGCCGGCGCAGACCTGTGACACGGGCATGCAGCGCCCTGCGCGTGCTGATCGCCTCGCGCTGAGCTTTACGCATGCAGCTCCCTGTGGCAGACAACATCCAGGTTACATCGACACAATATCAGGTCAGCAGCACACTCAGCAGGCTAACCGCTGCTTTCTCAAGACCAGGGGCCGGCAGAAACATGCACATGCGATCCTCTGCAGTGCACGGCCTCCCCTCTGCAAATGGTACAGCAGGTCTCCCCTTCTTCCTCCAGTCGCCCCCAAACGTTGCTATTCTCAGGCCTGCACGTGCCAGACGAGCACGTCCCCGCCCACGTCGGCCGAGGCCAGGCACGACTCGTCAAAGGCCCAGGCGGCCGCCGCCACCGCCGCCGCGTGGCCCCGCAGCATGCACGCCGGCTCCCCTACGCCACGCGCCTGCTTCGTCGCCCCGCCCGCCTCCAGCACGTGCACGTGCACGGTGGCGTCGGCGCGGCCCAGCGCACACAGCGTGCCGCGCCCGGCCCGAAAGCCGCCGCCGCCCAGCGCGGCACGCGGCGCGTAGGGCCCGCGCGGCAGGCGGAAGCGCTGGGCCGCGCCCAGCGCGTGCCCGCGCTCGGGCAGGGGGTGCAGGCTGAGCTGGCCGTCCTCGGTGCCCAGGGCCAGCGCCGCGCCGCCCCCCGCCGCGGCGCAGGCGGGGAGCAGGTCCAGGGTCACGGGGGCGGCCGCCCGCCCGGCGCGCGCGGTGGCTCGTGCCACGCGCGCCAGCTCGGCATGCAGGCCCAGGCGCAGCGCGCCCGTGCTGCCTGGCAGCAGCGTGCTCAGCGCGCTCAGCGTGCCATCGCTGGCCGCGACGTGCACGACGTCGGTGGCGACCTCCAGCCGCGCGGCGGCGGCGCCCGGCGCCGCCGGCGGCGCGCGCGCCGTGCACTGCCCCGTGCTCGCGTTCAGCACCAGGACCTCCCCCGCCCCCGTGCCCACCAGCACCAGGTTCTGGTTGACGGGGTGGAGGCGGAGGGACAGCAGGGGCGCGTCCCCCGCGACCCCGGGCGGGAACCGGCGCAGCAGCGCTCCCGTGCCGGCCTCCCACAGGCAGGCCGACCCGTCGGCGGAGCAGGAGGCCAGCAGGCCGTTGTCCCCGCTCCAGTCCAGGTCGGTGACGGGGGCGGCGTGCCCGCCACGCAGCGCCAGCAGCACGCGCGGCGAGGCGCCCAGGGCCGCCACGAACACCGCGCCGGCGTCGTCGCCCCAGGCCAGCAGGTCGCGCGTCAGGCGGCCGAAGCGCAGCTGGGACACCGGACTGCGCGCCGCGCTGAAAGCGTGGTGGAAGTCGATGCGCGGGGTGGGGAGGGGGGTGGTGGTTGGGGAGGATGGGGCGGGCCGGGGGCTGCTGGGGTCCTCCTGCGGGGGAGGGGGGGGGGGATACAGTAGGAACTGGGCGCCCCATGCAGCAGGCAGAAACAAGCTGGAGGCCCGCGTATGAGAAGCAACCCAAATAGCATCGCCCATCTACTCACCTGTTGGGCTGTCCACTCCCCCGTGGAGTGGGCGCGCAGAACCTCCTCGGCGCCCACCTCGGGGAACCCCGCCCCCTTGACATGCTGGATGTAGGCGCGGTACCCCTTATACGTGCCCGCATTCTGCTGCCAGAGCTGCATGCTTGGCAGTGGTGGGAAGGCCAGAGGTGGAGAGGATGGTATCGGAGCAGGGAGGGCATGTCCACTCGGTATCCCAGGCTGTGGGGATGGCCTGTGCACATGGGGCTCTTGTCGGAAGACACCAGGCACATACGCGAAAGCCCGGGTGAACCCGGGCGACAGATCAGCATGGGAATGCTATCAACACCAGATCTATGCCATGAGCGTCGCTCTCACCAGGCGCTTCACGCGGGCATCCTCGGGGAGTCGGTTCCATAAGTAGGCCTGGAGGCCCACGTTGGGCATGGAACCCCCGCTCCCGCAGATCTACTCCACCGTCACATCCCACGAGCTCCTCCTGTTTTTAGAGTTTCTCACTCGGTCTGTACAATGCTGGTTGATTGACGCCCAAGTGAGGGGCCGCCTGATCAGTACCTTGTTCCGCTAGTATCACGAGGACGCCATCGGTTTCGATCGTGTCCGATTTTTGAATCTCGTCGCATTCCTCAGAAGTATTCCACCTGTCCACTTCCTGGACCCCACACAAGTCATGGCACCCATAGCTCGCCGTCGCATTTCATGGTGGAGCCGCAGACCTTACAACAGCAAGTCACAGAACAAAGGCATGGTGTCGCCCTCGCCGGCCGACTTGTCTGGCTGCTCACTCCTCGGCAGCAGCTGCTGGAGCTGCACCCGACACCAACATGGCCTGCACCCGGGCCTCCAGCTCCGTTTTTTTCCCCTTGAGCCCCGCCTGCCGCGCCTTCAGGAAGGCCTTCAGCTCCAGCACCGTCAGTTTGCTGAGCTGGCCGGCGGAGTGCAGAGCGGCCGCCTTGACCATGAGCGCTCCGACGTCCACGTCGGCCGCCCTGGCCCGCGGCCTCGCTATGGCCTTGGGTCCGGCAGGCGGCGCTGCAGGCATGGTTTCCAGCGCGACGGCCGCTGCGCCTGGCGCATCGTTGCACGCAGAGGGCTCCGTTGGTGTGGCGTCCTGGCCTGTGCCCGGCCCACCGCTCTCCTTTGTTGGACCTGGTGTGGTAGCGGCCATGCCTGCCGCCTCAGACGGTCCTACAGGAATGGCACGCCGGGGCTGCACCAACCGCGGCCGCTTGGGCTGCTGCAGGGCAAGCACGCACGACTCGACCTTCCTCTTGGGCACCGCTCCCCTGCGCTTTGGGGCTTGTGGCGTGGGGGCGTTCAGCAGCCTGGCCGACACCTTATAGCCTGCACCCCTCGCCGCTGCCGCCTCGCATTCCTCCTGAGCGGCCTGCTGTGTCACACGGACCAGATACTGCTTGAGCCACTCCCCTGCAGGTTCCGGGGCGGAGTGGGACGGGAAGCTTGTATGCAGGGACCACAACATGTGTGTTACGAGCTTGCACACCCAGCAGTGCTGTGCCAGGCATTCTCCCGCGGCATCCACCCTAGCAGCCCACCCATCTCAAGCTCGCACCTGCTCTGCTGTGCTGCTCCCGCGTCTTCCTCCGGTGACGACAAGGCCCTTGCTCGTCGTGCGAGCCAGGCTGCCCAGCACCGGCCTCTACGGCAGGGCCCAACACCAGGCCCAGGTGGCGGGAGGCGCTGCCAGGCACCGGTCCCCCCACCCCCAGCCCCGAGGTGAAGGGGCTGCTGTTCCCAGCCCCCTTGACAGGGGAAGCATCTGACGACCGCCAGGTGTGGACCGCCCCGCACGCCATGCGCGCAGCTGGGAGCAACGGGTTCGGTTGCCCATCCAAGTCCCCTGTACGGACAGAGGAGGGCTTACGATTGTGTGCGAGAGCGTTCCCAATAGGTGTGGAAAGCAGCGTGGACCGAGATGCAAGGCCAACACCGGCTCCTATGAGGGAAGAAAGACAAGAGATGCCACAAAACCCGCTGCCACGCACCGACGAGGCGGCCAGCCAGGGCCATGAGAGCAGCAGGCGACATGCTTTCAGCTTCGAGACCAGAAGAAGACAAGATGCAGGACGGAGGGTATGGTGCCACATCGCCGTCAGGGTCCTCCTCGAATCGCACACCCACAGTGTGCCCCGGGAGAGGGAGGGCATAGCCCGCCCCAGCGCGCCACTCCTCCTGCAGCCTGGTCGCCAGCTCTGTGCTGCAAGGCTGGATGCCACTCACTATGCCAGGCCTGTGCAGGGTTCATGGACCAGGGTGGCGTGAGGGTGGCGGCGGTGAGCAGATTCAGCCCGGCGATGTGCATTCTCCCCGCCCAGCGCCGGAATCCTGCCTCCTCACCGGCAGAAGGGAAGGACGCTGCAGAGGGATCCAGTCACCCGCTCCGACAGCGCAGCCAGCGCCGCTGGATCGTCGCTCGGGAGGGCGTGCCAGCGGGTGTACCGGACGCTGTCTGCAGAGCGGCGGGGGTGTCACTCGGGGCGTGGTGCCTGGGACCGTTGCACAAATGTAGACCCACTGCGACAAAGCTTGGCCCGCTCTGCCCTGTCATGCCAGTACTCCTATTCTCGGTCCACCCACTCTGGGACCATTCTCATCCCACCTGTGCGCAGGAAAACCCGCAGCGCGGTCGGTGACACGCAGTCAACCGCTTCGACTCCCAGCCTGAGGCACTGCCCGAGGCGTTCTCCTGTCGCTGCCTCCAGGAGGCAGGCGCTGAGCAGGTGTTCCTGCGCCACGCGCCACCACCCAGCGCGCTCCAGCGCGCTCTCCGCCACCCACCGCGCGACGGTGGCCGCCTGCGCGCCAGCAAGGGCGCCCACCTGCACGTGGGCGCGCACATCCCTCGACATGGCGATGCCCAGGCCTGCCTGCTGGGCCAGCAGGAGCTTGTAGATGGCGCCGACGTGGGCCTGCATTGGTATCAGTAGGTTGTCGGGGTGGGGCATGGCAATGGATGTACCAGTGGGAACATCTACTATGAAGGGCAGGGGGAGGAGTTCCCCCTCCCCTTCCAGCCTCGCCTTGGAGCAGACCAGCTCCAGATTCCAGGCATCTGCAATGCGAGCCAGAAAGGGAACAGCGGTCGAGCTCAGAGCCTTGATGGCTGTAAGGGCTCCTCTAGCCCGAGCATCCTTCTCGGCATCGGTCATGCAGGATGAGCCCGGCGCCAGCGGGACATGGACTCGGAAGATGGACGAGATGGGGAGGCCTGGCAGCTCCAACAGCAGTGCTAGGCCTGTCGCCATGGCACCGCATGTTTGGAGATGTAATGATGAGTTTCACTCTAGACGAACGTCCTCATGGGTTCCGAAGCGAGATTTGGTGCACATCAACTCCGGAAATCTTCCGTTGTTAACTGTCCCTGATGCACTTTGCTCGCTTCGGCCGTGGAGATGTTCAGATTCGCAGTCTCCAACGATTACCAGGTGCAAGGAAATTGAATGGGTCTGATTTTTTATCAAATGCCAAGAAAATACACAACTCTCTCCATCATTGTCACCCAGCCTCTCACTGGGAAGGAATGTGCAAGTGAATGAGTTTAACACATCCGCCGCTTTGCAGCCCATCCATTCGTCATTGTATTGGGAGACTGAGCAGGAAGTCAGATACCACCTCCACAACTTCGTTTTCCAGTCCCTTGAGGCAGTGGTCGCCATCCAGGACCTTGAGCTGCGCTGAGCTTCCAGCTGCGGCAACCAGCCGGCGGCCCAGACCCTCAACGTCGCAACCAGCCGGGTAGCATTCGTCCTGAGCGCCCAGGAGGAAGAGCGATGGCACCGAGGCAGCGCCCTTCAAGAGCTCCTGGGAGGGTGATGTGTAAGGGGAGGAGGATTCGAGGTGCACAGTGACTATCAAACGAATTGTCCAGCGGATCAGCCTCCCGAAGCCTCGTGGACATAGTGACCCTAAGTTGGAATGGATGCCGTGCAGGGAGGCCACCTTCAAGACACTGCTCACCATCCTCAACCAACATGCCCCTCACCCGAAGCTGTGCGTCGCTCAGATCCGAGCTGAACATGTCGTCGTCGCCACCCCCGCACGCCAGCGCCACAAAGCGCCGGGCGGTGATGGGGGTCCCGCCCAGCGCATCAGCCCTGCCCAGCAGGTCCTCGCCCCGCCCCTCCTCCACCATGCGCTGTGCACGCTGGGCCAGGGCGGCGGTGCTTTGCTGCTTGCCCAGGAACTCGCGGTCGCTGACGGGGGCCTGGAGGACCAGGCCCATCAGGGGCGGCGCGCCGTCCTTTCCACCGGCATACAGGCTCGCGTAGCGCACGGCGTCCTGGCACCCCGTGGAGTGACCCAGGATGGCGACGCCCTGCGCAGGGGATCACGTTTTCCGGCAGATCAAAGAAAGCAGGGAGACAATTCAATCATGATCGACATGGTCTGAGGCGGGCAGCGCTGTGCATTGGCAAGCAGGGGGACCAGCGCTCTGACGAACCTGACGCGGCATTCAAAACCCTCGACAGACCGCCCACCTCGGCCCCGTGCTCCCTCCCCAGGGCTGCAGCCAGCAGATGGAGCTCCGCTGCATCCTGGTCGAGGCTCGCCAGGCCCCACCCCGACAGCGAGGAGGAGAGGAGGGGCTGCACGCATGCCCACCCCGCTGCATTCAGCCTCCGGGCCAGGGGCGTACAGTATGCAGTGAAGAGCATGCCGTCCGACAAGCCTCCCACCAGGATGGCATGCCGCCGGCCGGAGCCTGGGGTGGCAGGGGGAGGGGGAGGTGAGGGCATCAGTGCCTGCACCATCATGGCACGCAGTATATGCCACAGGCAATGGATTTGCTCTGCATACCAGAGATGAAGGCCGTGTGTGCTACCTCTGGTCCATACCGAAAGAGCTTGCCCTGCATCGGTGTTGAAGAGAGACAATGGAATGCAGGTGAAGGGGTGTGTGCATCATGGGGTCAAGCCCTCTGAGTAAAGCCTCCCCAGCTCACCGACAACGACATGCCCAGCTGTGAGGGAGATATCAAGTGGGTGTTCGTGTAGCTTCAATCTACCCAGCATTCACTCCAGTTGGCCGTGTCGAGGCGCTACACGACGCGAACCTACACTGATCGATGTGAAAAGGAGAGAGGTTGGCGCGCCGGCGCGTTCCTCGCGGCGCTCAATTCGAGTACCAGTGCATGTGCGAACAAGCACGGCAAGGGACATTGTCCGCACATGATAAGCATATCCAACGAGGTTTACCTATTAAAACGAGTGTCCCAGGAAGTCTCAACTGCTGTCGCGAGTATCTTCCACGCAACCTCTTACTCCGACAGGCATGGCCGCAGCGAAGAAGGCCAAAGTCTCACATGACGCTACCCTGGCACCCCTTTCCAAGCAACAAAAGGTTTTGAAGCCTCAGTTAGACACAGAGACCGGATGGGAGGAGCTAGAGACGGGCCCAAGCCCAGATGAATTGGTGGCAGGTGGGTGGGTTGTTCCCTGGTTGTCGTCTTGCAGGGATGCGCCGCCGTGACCTCGCTTTCCAGAGCTGGAGCCCTGCTTACTGCATGCTCAAACTCCCCAACAGGCGAGGAGGAGACTGCAAAGGTAAAGCTGAGCAAGCACCAGAAGCTGCAGCGGCGTAAAGCAGAGGAGACGGCGATTCGTGAGGCAGAGCTGAGGCGATTGCAGGTACGAGAAGGTGCAGTGCAGGCGTGCATGCCCTGCCGTGGAAGCTCATGCAAAGTTTCTTGACATGCCTGAATCGGCTCAGTACCAGGTCCACCCTCCCCGTCGGCACTTCAGGGAGATGCAGCGCCCACCAGTGCGGCCGAGTACGAGGCGCTCCTCCTTTCCTCAGCAGACAGCTCCTTTGTGTGGATCAAGTACATGGCCTTCCTCATCTCCCTGGGTGACATCGAGCAGGCTCGAGCCGTCGCCCAGCGGGCCTTCAGCGCTATAAACTACAGGTGGGCTGGTGGCCCTGCCCGGTCACCTGGGTGCGGCCTGGGACCCATGGAGCCTGTGCTGCTGGACGCATGCCCAGCTTCTCTCCAGCTCCCATCATGATCTCCCACACCCCGTTCCAGGGAGGACGCCGAGAAGTTCAATGTGTGGGTGGCGCTGCTGAACCTGGAAAACACGTACGGCGATGAGACCACCACGCTGAGCACGCTGGGGCGCGCGCTGCAGCACACAGACGCCCGCCGGATGTACCTGGCGGCCACAGACATCTTTCAGCGCAGCGAGAGGACCAGTCTGCTGGAGCAGTGCTGCAAGGCCATGTCCCGGAAGTTCAGTGCCTCCACAGAGGTCAGGGAATGTTTTTGTGAGGGGTGAATAGGTCGTGGGGAAGGCATCCCGAAACCAAGCACGAGGGGGCAGCATCATATCGCAGCATGCGCCCCAACATCACAAGGCAAAGCCTGTACCGCTCACCTCCAAGTGACTCACTCCCCATCACCTTCCCTCCAAATCACCGCATTCCCTACAGATCTGGCTCAGGATTGTCAGGCTGAGGCTGGACCAAGGAGACGAGGAGGCTGCAAGTGCCACTCTGGCGCGATCGCTGCAGTCCCTGCCCAAGTCGGAGCATGTGCACATGATCTCCCACACCGCCCTCCTCGAGTTCAAGCATGGGGACGCAGGTTGGTAGATTTGGGGGGGGTGGGGAGGGGGAGGCTTTTGCACCAAGCGATCAGCAGCGTGGGTGCTTCAACTTCCAGTACCTGCCAAGGTGGACACATAGCCTTCGGTTTCCATTTGTCAACACATCAGAGAGGGGAAGGAGCATCTTTGAGGGCATCCTCCGGAACTACCCCAAGCGATTAGACCTGTGGAGCGTGTACATTGACCAAGAGATCAAGACCGGGGATGAGGCTCGAATCAGGCAAGCCGGGAGTGGAGATTGGCTGGTTTGGAGAGGGGCTGCTGGGTGCAGGGCTGCTTGAGGCCATTGTGGGGTGCTCGCCTGTATTTCTGCCCCTACTATGTGCGACAAGGGGTCCCACTCTCAAATTATCGTGCGTCCCTGCTGACTTATCATCTCCCCATTAGTCATGAGAAAGCATTTCATGCAAGAAGTCCTCCCCCCCTGTTTCATGATCTGCAGGGCGCTGTTTGAGAGGGCCACCCACCTCCACCTCCCAGCCAAGAAGATGAAGTTCCTTTTCAAGCGGTGGCTGGACTTTGAGAAGGCGCAGGGCAATGCGGAGGGGGTGGAGCATGTGAAGAAGAGTGCCATGGCCTTTGTGGAGTCTGTTGGACAATCATGAGGTGCCATGTTACAACAACCAGCCTCATTCGTGGTCCTGCAGTGCTGTTTGTTGTGAGGTTGTGATTCATACAAGAATGAAGCAGGGTGCGGGGCAGCAACAGTGCTCCATGACTTCAGTTTGTCGACAACCTGAACCGACTGCAGCGAGGTGTGACGGTTTCTGTACATCTCGTTGCCTCGCTGGACGTGTGCGGGCTGCCGGCACCTGGAGCAGGAGCATTCCTGTGAGCTCCTCCCCCCCAATATCGAGCTCAAAGAGAGAATGAGCCGTCAAATGGCAATATCAAAAGATGGCCTCTGCCAAGCAGCAGCAGCACAGGGCAGCCAGGCTGCAGGCAAGGGGGACAGGGTACATGTGAAGCAATGTGACGAGGTGCATCAGACTATGCTCAACCAACCTCATTCGTGGTCCTGCAGTGCTGTTTGTTGTGAGGTTGTGATTCATACAAGAATGAAGCAGGGTGCGGGGCAGCAACAGTGCTCCATGACTTCAGTTTGTCGACAACCTGAACCGACTGCAGCGAGGTGTGACGGTTTCTGTACATCTCGTTGCCTCGCTGGACGTGTGCGGGCTGCCGGCACCTGGAGCAGGAGCATTCCTGTGAGCTCCTCCCCCCCAATATCGAGCTCAAAGAGAGAATGAGCCGTCAAATGGCAATATCAAAAGATGGCCTCTGCCAAGCAGCAGCAGCACAGGGCAGCCAGGCTGCAGGCAAGGGGGACAGGGGTACATGTGAAGCACTGTGACGAGGTGCATTAGACTATGCTCGGCACATGCGGGTTGGGTCGAGGGTTCCTCAGCCACTCAGACCCAGGATTGAAACTGCCTGGGCAGGGAAGGTGGCTCAACGTTCCTGCACAGGATCACAGCCCACGACTCACCAAGCAGCGCAGCAGCCATCCATGGCAGGCGAGGAGTTGGCATTGTTCACGTAAACTGGCTGGGGCGGACCGTAGTTGGGAGGCGGTTGCGAGCCGGGGTAGCCGGGGGGGGGGGGTCCCCCAACCCCGGTTGGGGAGGG